TTGATTGTTCTCTAGTGGAAACACAAAACAGAATTTTTCAAGGGCACCTGTAAGACAAAGATGGTGTCTGATTCTTTATACTCCCAAACAGTAAAGCAGGATCCCAAGCAAAGCTGATGACAAGGGACTTCAGCGCTCTGAGGACGAGCATTTTTTAGCCGGCAAAACAGCAAAGGCTGCTGCAGGACTGGGTAATAGAATCTTAAAACCATCAGAATATAATTTCTTTGAAAATAGTGAAAAAACTGAACAAAAATGATGACAATAGCATAATGTATTATACTTCAGCTAAAATCATGGGTCAATGTTTTATTTTATTTTAAAATTAATTTTATTGGTACATTTTTAGGTATACAATATAGTGACATTTATCATTATTAATTTGCACCTTTACACAATCTACCTTGGTTCTTAGGGTCGGGGATTTAGCTCAGTGGTGCCACCGCCTACCTTAAAAGCACAATGTTCCAAGTTCAATCCCCAATACCAAAAAAAAGATGAAAAAAAAATGTTTTTCAGACAGGGTCTCACTGACGGGTAAGGTGGTGCACGCCTGTAATCCCAGCACTTGGGAGGCTGAGGCAGGAGGATCGCTCTGAGTTCAAGACCAGCCTGGGCTACATGGTGAGTTCAGGTCAGTCTCAACTACAGAGTGAGATGCTGTCTCAAAAAACAAAACAAAACAAAAACAAAAACAGACAGGGTCTCACTGCATAGTCTAAACTGGCCTTGAATTCACCATGTATAGTACAGGCTGGCCTTGAATTCATGGCAATCCTCCTGCCTCAGAGTTCTGAGTCCTGGGATTACAGGCACATGCTGCTACACATGGCATGAATCAGTATTTTAGACTCCAGGGAGTCTAAATACATCCTGATTCTCTCCCTTCCTATTTGCCTTTAAGCAAGTTACTCACACCTACCTCCCTGGACTTTGGTATCTTCATCTGGAAAATGGGCATAATTAATAACAACTACTGCATTGGCTTTAATTACATGGACTAAACGATGTTATCTATGTAAAAGCGTGATAATGTCTTGTACTTAGTAAACATTCCATAAATGTCACCAGTTGTTTCATTATCATTATGATTGAAGTTTCTTTCTCAGACCTATTCAACTGCATGACTTCAAGTGTAAAGTACTATCATCATCATAAATAAGTCTTTCCTGTGATATATTATTAAGTTATATTTTTCCATTTACATTGTTGAGACTATTTGGTGTTAGGTAAGCTTCACAGCAAATAGCTATTCGCTACTTCATTTGATCCTCACAACAACACTGACACATAGTGAGACAGGGAGTGATCACCCTCCTTTTATAGAGCTTAAAGCAACAAGTGACTTGCCCAAAGGGAGGATCCAAGGCCACACTGTCCAGGTCCCGTGTCAGGGCTCTTCCCATCTTTATGGGCTCGTCCACTATGTCACCTTCATAATAGATAATCTCAAGCAGGAAACAACCCTAAGTGGGGGAGCAGGCAGGCATGAACAGGAACACTGGCTGCGACACCGAGCCGCTGTGTGTAGATTCACGCCCAGGCTTGACTTCGATGTCGCAAGGACGCCCTCATCTGACACTGGTGTCACCCCCCTGCCAGGGCAAAGCGTCCCCGGGATGACTATAGTCTGGCAAGTGGTGTTGGAGGTCCCTGAGCGGGTCTCCACCTCCTAGTGCCAGAAACCACTTCCCGGCCCCACTTCCACCCGCTTGCCTTCCCAGGCCTCTCTTTTCTCATCTGGAGGTGAACTGTCTATTTCCTTTCTATCTTTTTTCTTTTTATTTTTTTTCACAAGAATATGCTCCACCTTATCCTCCCCTTTGCTTGGCCCTGGCTCAAGCAGCTCCTCCACAGGAAATAGACGCCATGCCTTCCTCCTCCAAATGGACAGATTTGACTTTCCTTTAAAAGCCTGGTTAAAAACCATTTCCTCCGTGAAAAGCAACTAAACCACGGTACCCCACCAACCAGCCAAAATAATCTCCGCAGCCCACATCTTTTATTAATTTATTGAAATGGCATTTCCTAGCTTCCCTCTCAAATCTGTAAGCAGCCTAAGGCTCTGGTTGGAGTGTTTGTTTGCCCAGCTCACACACACGCTGTGCCTCATCTGGAACTGGTGTTCCATGAGGATTTGAACGAGCAAGTGAACAAAGAGCTGTCTTTGGTGTGTGTGACCAACACAAGCAAACTGCTATGATCAGTCAAGAAATTCAAGAAGTTTTTTGTTTTGGTTTAGTTTTTTGAGACAGGGTCTCACTATGTAGTTGAGACTGGCCTGGAACTCACTATGGAGCCCAGACTGGTCTCCAACTCACAGCGATCTTCCTTCCTCAGCCTCCCGAGTGCTGGGATGACAGGCCCAAGTAAGTTATTTTAATAGAAAGAAAACTAAAATTCAAGAACTTTGCCAAATATAAAATTAAAGTTTTTTGTTAATGCTTTTTGGTTTTTTGTTTGTTTTGTTTCTGGCTGGTGATATAGTTCACTAGTAGAGCACTTATCTAGTATGTTCATGGCCCTTGGTTCTATTCTCACATGCTGCAAAAATAAAGAAATTCAAACTATTTAAAAATACTGCTCAGATGAATTTCTTAATGCTCCATCTAACTCTACATGTATAAGAAATGATTCAAAAATTAAAAATCTCAAACCAAATAAATCCTTAAAATAAAAACCCATGTTTAGCAAGTAAGAAAGATTCAATTGATTAAAAAATCAACAGGGGGGTCCAGGTATTTAGCTCAGTGGTGCCACTGCCTGCCTTGAAAGCACAAGGTCCCTGAGTTCAATCCTCAATACCAAAAAAAAAAGGAGTTTTATAAAACATTATCATTCCTGTTCCATCTTCCTGAATGTAACAGGCAACCCTCTGCTCTTAATTAGTCTATTTACTGACTATTGCTATCTGTCTGTAAAGGGAAGGAAAAGTACATGAGCTGAGACTAACCGAGCTCATGAACTATGAAACGTTACATAAATTGCATTGGCAATGAGAGACAGAGAGAGAGAAAGGAGGAAGAACAGGAGCCACTGACAAAACCAGGACGGCGAGGCACTTTGTGATATCGCTGCTTCGTCCCACAGCGGTGTGGTGGATGAGCAGACTCGGAGAGCTGGCCTTATCCAATTCTGAAATCCACATTGGGTAAGCGCTCCCCCACCCACGCCACTGCGGAACTCTGCAGCCAAACACCCAGGTCCAGCTGGACTCTAGTCCGCTTGTCCGCAAGGAATTGTCTGTTTACCTTCTGCCTCTACCAGCACCTAAGCAATGGCCTTGCTCAATACGCATTCAAATTGCTTCAAGCCCTACGGGCTTAGCCCTGCACCACTGTTCCGGGAGCCCTGGGGTCAAAATGCCGCCTCTACAGGAGTAGACAGCTCTGCTCCCAGTGTGGCTGCAACAGAGGAACTCGAGGTGGCTTTCTCATGTGTCCTGAGGAAGTCTGCTCACAAGAAAGATGCCTATAAAAGGGTAGGGGTTTGCGGGCAAATAAATCTGGGGAATATCGTAGTCTGAATCTTCCTCGGGGAGTTTCACAATGCATATTGGTAATATTAAGGGCGATGAAAAGATCTGCAGTAAAGAACATTATTATATTTTAACTCAGCAAACCTCAAATCTATGTGACTGTGAGCCTTCTTTCCAGTAACACTAATTAATATTGAAACGTAATCTGAGAAATGCTTGAAACTACTCTGGCCTTAATAGGTAGCTTTAAGTCTAGTTACAAGGCAGCTCTTGGTTTCTCCAAGAGTCACTGAGTCAGCAAAGAGTAATGGAAAAGTTAAATTAGGAATGGAAGACCTCAATTTCCTGACAACCTACTGTAAAATGATTTGTATATTTTACCTTAATATATGAAAAACATATATTTTTGAAAGCAACAGAAAAAACTATATGTTTAAGGCCCAGTTATAATGGTGCACAGCAGTATATTCTTTATGAAAATAAGGACTCACAACCTGATTTTATCTCTGTATATGTGTAAAATGAAGCAGAGAACAAAATAATTACACAAACAATTCAAACCAACTTCCTTTTAACAGTGATATAATTTTGCCTATTCATTTTTAGGTAATTCAAGCTTATTGGGATTGAATGTAGAACTTCAAAAGATAGCAGCCCAAGACAGCTGAAAAGATATCATCATTGTTCTACACAGTTTGAATAAACTTTACTAATAAATTGAGCCATTAGAAGGGTAGTTATTGAGTCTTTACTACCACTACAGACAAATCTGCAATATCACATAACATAGTACCCTGAAAATTCCCCCAATATCTGAGAATTAATGTTCCCACATTTCCAAGTGTCCGATTCACTATGAAAGAATATTTGGGTATGAAATACTACAAGAACATGTATTAGAAATTCCTAAAGGGCTGGGGATTTAGCTCAGAGGTGCCATGCCTGCCTTGCAAGCACAAGATCCTGAGTTTGATCTCTGGTATAAGTAAATAAATAAATAAATAGCTTAAAAAGATAAACAAACTCCTAAAAAATCAGCTTACCTGAACATAAAACATCTAAAATAAAATTAACAAATATCCTTTGTAATTTCAGGCACCTCCAGTGATTCAATTAACATCTGTTCACATTTATGATGGGAAAATATCACAGGCTTGATCTTTATTCCACATTATCATTTTTTCTAGAACTTAACCCATTCTAATTCATAAAAAGACCAATTCAAATTTAAATGCGAACATCACTGCTTATTTCATTCTTTCAGTTGAGAACTATAAACACATAAATATGCAAAACTCTCCCTTCTCAAAATACAGTTGATAAATATGCCACAGGGAAACACAATCTGAATTTAAAAAAAAATTTCCATGATTTCCTTCTCCTGAAATCCAGGGGGATGGGTATCCAATAATGAACTAGTTTAACACTTTGATGTCAGACTGAACTTTCTCTTCACTCATTCTATTTCAGTTTAGTGGACAAAATGATCATTTTTCAAGTAGCCCTAGTGGCTGTGCCTTACCAGTGTAGATGCTGGCATTGGAAGCTGGGATACCAAACTGTGACTCGATGAACTTGGGAATGAAGGTAATGAAAGCAGTTACAATGGCACTCTCAGCTGTGTATGACAAACTCACAAAAAGGAATGTCATGTTGCTTAAGATCCTGACAGCTGCTCTTGGTAGGTCTACAAAATGACAAAAATGACAAATGAATGTTAAAAACAATGGATGAAAAACAAAATAAAACTGAATTGCTTCCGAAATGAATTGGAAATAGCCATACAGCAATACTTGCCACAAAATAATAAAAACAAAGATCTGATGATGATTAGAAACCATCCCCCCTATTAAACAGGTTTGGTTTGGGTTTGATTTTCAAACTTTCAACCAAAATAAGGAAATAATAAATCCAAAACATATAACCATGCAAAATATCCTTATAAACAGTATCCAATCTACAACTCCTATTTCAAAACCATTTACAATAAATTATCTTCATCTTTCATGGATTAGAATACACTTTCTGTTGAGTCTACTAAATGTGTAAAGTACCTACAGGACAATCCTAAATTACATATTCTGTTGAACACCTGATTTTTCAGCCTCATTTATGAAACAAGCAGTAATGGTAGCTAAAGAAGCTAAAAGGAGAGAGCCCACCAAGTCAGATACTCGCATGTGCCTTTGGCCTGAGAGCAAAAGGCCACCATCTCCAAAGGAGAGGAGAGGCCAGAGACAGGCCAGGGCTTGCCAGGCTGCTCCTCAATGGAGAAAGAAAGGTCTCATCCCTGAAGTTAGGTATGGCATAGCTGTATAACAGAAGCTACAAATGAGAGCTGGGGATTTAGCTCAGTGGTTCCGCTGCCTGCCTTGCAAGCACAAAGACCCGAGTTTGATCCCCAGTACCACAAAAAAAAAAAAAAAAAAAAAA